ACGACAATGTCCAACAGAAGAGCTGCATATCACTCATAGAAGCAAGAGAACCTTTCCTAGGCCTCTTTCACACTCTCCTCACATTGCTTTAGCCAGAACCATGTCACGTACCCATGAGCAAACCAGTCATTGGCCTGATGAGTGGAACCACTGTGATTAATTTAGACTAATCAGGATCCTCCCCTGGGGCTGGGGCTGACACTGAGTCCCCTGAAGTACAAGGACATACAGGGGCCGGTGGATGTATGTCTGAACAGAATCCTGTTAGAAAGGAGGAAGGGAGAGTGAACAGGTGCTGGGTGGGCAACCGTCAGTGGCTACTGCAGAGGTCAACCAGGAGGAGCTAGAGGAACTTCCCAGTTCACTGACTGGGCAGATATGGCATCACCAACTGACCGAGAAGACTCACTAGAGAGAGAGTGAGCTCACTCTCGGACCTGGTGAATGTGAAAAGCTCATGGACCAGCCAAGCAGAGCAGTCTAGAAGGTAGCTATATGTAAGGGCTGACAACCCCCTTCCTCTCAACCCTTCTTCCCCTGGCTTCCAAGACACTATACTGCCCAGTTTTATCTCCTGTCTCTCTGGCATTCCTTCTTGGACCCCTTTGTTGGCACCTCTTCTGCCATCCATCCCTAGAATATTGGGATTCCCTGGGGTTCTGTTCCAGGCCCTCCCTCTGCTCTTTTTACTCTACAGATTTCCCCTAGGTGATCTCATCTTCTACTATGGCTTCAACTCCCAAATCAATGGCTCCAGCCAACCTTTCTGGGCCTCACATTTAACCACCCACTGGGCATCTCATCTTGGACTTTAGTCTCCCTCAGTTCCCCATAAGCTCTACAAGATCCTCTTCATTATTTGTCATGACAATTCTGGATACTTGTTTTTTCTGTCTTATATAATGGACTATGAAAATGCAAGTTCAAGCTGCCTTCTCATCCAACTTTATTGCTATCCTAAGCCCCTGTTGTCATATCCATTCTTTACTTTCTTCCCTTGCTCAGTTGTATTTGTCGTGGAACAGGTGGGCAGGGGAGCTAACCCCTATAGACTAGGTGTCTCGAGCTCCTTGTCAGAGTTGTACAAGATTGTATTATTGTTTCCTATTATTCACTTTTTTTTTTTTTTAGTGATGGGGTCTTGCTATGTTGCCCAGGCTGGCTTTAAACTCCTGACCTCAGGCAATCCTTCTGTCTCAGCCTCCCAAAGTGCTGGGATTACAGGTGTGAGCCACCTCACCCAGCCAATTATTCACTCTTTTCACTGTAATAAGAGCATACATCCCCTCATTTGCTAAGATACTTTTGGTTTCAAGTCACAGAAACTCCCCATTTAACTGGTTTAAACAGTAAGGAATTTATTATTTAAAGAGATAAGAGGTTCAGAGGCAAAGTAATTCCAGGGTTGGTTAAGTCAGTAGCTCAAAGATATCCTAAGAACTCAGGTTCTCTTCTCCTTTCTGTTTCCCTGACCTCTGCATGTCAGCTTGGTTCCCAGGCAAACTCTCCTCATGGTCAATATCTCATAAGAAGACTGAAGCACCGTTAGGCATTTGTATTAATCAGCTTTTTTGAGATTATGCTGCTGTAATAAACAACCCCAAAATCTTTGCAGCTTCAAACAACAAGCATACAGAACTATACTTTTTTTAAGATAAAGAAAAACTTTTCTGCCTACTTCCAAGTGTTCTTAAAAAAAAAAAAAAAATCGCAGCTTCTGCGGCTGTCAAAAAAAGAAAAACTTTTCCAGAAACCCTCCAGCAGCCTTCCCTTCAACCCATTGGGCAGAACTGCATCACATTTACATGCCTGAAAAAAGTCACTGGCAAATGTGATTGTTTTAGCTCATTTAAAACTCATTCCTTGAAGATGGAGGGAGGATGGCTACCCTGAAGCAAAGGTGTGCGCAGAGGAGGAGCTTCCTGAACAAAATCAGGATTCTGTTAAAAGGAGAAAATAATATGGCTGTTGGGCAGGCAACTAGTATGCTTGTTATGTTTGCTACAATACTCTTCATCTCAACCAAACTGTCTCAGTAAATGACACACCACTCAACCAGTTGTAGCCAGACACATGGAAATCACCCTCCAATCTCCATCTCTCTCATCTTCCACTCCATCCAATCAATAATCAATTTCATTTATTCTACCTTGAACATAGCTCTGTAATCAGCCGCCTTCTCTTGGGCCACCCAAGTTCAGGGCAGCACCATGATCTTTCACCTGGACCAATGCAGCACACTTGTCATTGGTTTCTCTGCATCTAGTCTTGCTAAACCTCAATCCAGGCTCCAAGCTACTGACAGTGCCTCTTTATAATGCAATTCTGATCATGTCACTTTCTTATTAAAAACCCTTCTTAGCCTTCCCATTGCTCTTAGGAGAAAGTTCAAACTCCATACCATGCCTTTCAAGGCCCTCTGCCATTTGACCCTGGCTACTTCTCTGGTTTACCGCTTAACTAATCGTTTTCTGGCTTCTGGCTTCTCCCCTTCACCTCAGTATCCTTTCTCATCATTCAGGTTGCAGGTTACAGGTCACTGCCTTGAAGTGGTTCCCTGTTCCCAAAATGTAATGCCCTATACTTCCTCTAACACTCTATTCGTCCAAATTTATCTTATTTGTTTAAGCTTATCTTCCCTCTAGACTATAAGTTCTGTAAGGGCCTGTGGGGTTAAATCCCTATCACCTAGCACAGAGCATGGCTACAGTATTAAACAAAACTTAGTTATAGATTTGAAAGTTTTCATGTTATAGACCTACAGGTGGTAGTTGACACCAAAGATATATATAACCCAGACAGAGGGTATTGCTGAAGAGAGCAAGAACATGAGAAGAAAGACAATGATTATTACGATGAAGAAATGAAGAAGGATAAGGAGAAGAATGAGAAACTAGTAGCCAGAGAAGTAGGAGGAACATCAGAAGAGAATGTACTCATCAGCCAAAGAAGAGAGAGCATCAGGAAATTGGAGATATCCGACAGGGTTACCCGCAGCAAAGGGGACAGAATATGGACTGACAAGTGTTATTGGATTTGATTACAGAGCAAGAAAGATAATGTTGGAGAGCAGATGGACTGCTCCTTTGTCAACCTAATATACTTAAGAAGGTATCTTCCCCTCATTGTCATTAATTCCTCCAACCATTGGTCCAGCAAAGATTCACTAAACATCTGCTGCAGGCCACGTACCGTGTTAGGCCCTAGGTAGACATGAGAAATAGAGCACAGTTCTCTCAGGCCTATGGGGTTCAGTATACTTGCCTGCAAGGGAAAGTTACAATGCACCAGGGCTGGGTGTTTTATTGGGATTGGTGTTGATTGGTTTTCTGAATACATTTGATGAAACAAGAGCTAGTGTGCAAGTCCAAAGGTCGGTAAGACTTTATCATCTTGCTTTGAGCTGGCAGGAGGCAAAAGGGAAAGTGTGTGTAACACATTATTATTGCATCATTTCTGTCTGTTCATAAGTGGATTCTGGGTTTTTCCAAGAAAATTGGTTCTGTCTGCCCAAAGGCAGAAAAATGACAGAGCAGTTCAATCAAAAGAGCATTCTTTTAAAAAATCCTCCAGACTTGATCCTACTTAGTATCCACTCAGCAAAGATGTTTTCAGCTTTCAGGCCTACATAGTATTATTGACTAAACTACTGCTCCACTATTTTTTTTCTGCCCTTGTATTCTAACTACTGTAAAACAGTGTAGTGTAATGTTCAAGAGGTCAGTGAATCAAAGCCTTCTAAAAATGAGTAGGTGTCAGTGGGGTTTGGGAGTTGGATGGAGACAAAGGGAGGGGCACTATAACTAACTAGAAGACTATCTTAGGGTTTTCATTGAATACTCATACATCTCACTCCATACAATAGACATTGTTTTGAAAAAAGAGTTTAACTCAAAATGTCTTTAAGGCACATTATCTTTAATGCCCTACAAAAACATTATTTAAGGAAACTCTACCCATCAAAAAAAAAATTTTTTTTAAAAAACTAGGCATTCTTTGAAATGTGCATAATAATTTCCTAACTTGTAATTGGGATTTTGATACACTTTTTTTTTTCCCACATGTAGAACTAGGTAAGTAAGTGATGCAAATATCTGCCCACAGCCTCAATCAGACTTTAGTTTTTGGGGTCCTGGCCGGACATGGTGGAACAGAACTAGGAAAACAAGCTCGGAGGAGCCTATCGCTGAAAGAAATGCCTCAAGGGACACTGAGCTCACGTCTGGACCTTCCCAGCGCTGCCATCTGAAGTCCCAGGGGACCTGGAGGGGGTTGGGCAAGAAGGGGGCAGAGTAAATCCTCCCCCACTGGGGAGGCTGAGAATAATAATTACACTTTCTGGGCGCTTACAACAGCCAGGCTCTGCTCCTAGCTCTTGGCGTATATCGGCTGAGCTAATCATCCCGACAAACCATGACAAAGTTACTATTGTTCTCCGTTTCCCGGATGAGAAACTGAGTCAGAGAGGTTAAAAGCCCGATGTCATACACCAGAAAGCGGAGCGGGTACCTGACCGGTAGCCGTTAGAGGTGTCAGTAATATGCCTCAACTTTGCTAAAATGGATGAGAAAAATTCTCACCTTTAAGACCGCAATCAGGGCCCGCCTGGGGAAGCAGGTGCTTATCAAACCCTTTTAAGACAAGGAATTGCTCTGCGGGAAGGTGGGTGTGAGGGTCACCCGTGTGCGTGATGGAGGAGAGGTAGGCGGTCAACTCCTGGCTGGTCCAAGCTGAGAGTATGCTCATTTGCCCTCCTGTGCCAGGGCCCACAGCCAGCCGGCCACCTCAGGAGGAGAGCAGAGCCGGAGCCCGCCGCCAGCCACGTGTCCTAGGCTCCCAGCCAGGGGCCGGTGCGCGGAGGCGGGGCACGAGGGGCGGGGCTGGGGCGGCGGACGCGCGGGCAGGGCGAGTGCGCCTGCGCACAGGCTGGGCCCGGCGGGGCGGGCGCGCGGGCCGAGCCGTGTTAAAGGCGGCCCTCCGCCCCGGTGGCCGCGCCAGTCCTTGCAGTGCGCAGGCGCGGGGCTCTTCTTGTCAGTCGGAGCCGCGTGCGGGCTGGTGGCTCTGTGGCGGCGGCGGCGGCGGCTAGTCTCCGGCACGATGAGCGGCTTCAGCAGCGAGGAGCGCGCCGCACCCTTCACCCTCGACTACCGAGTCTTCCTCAGTGAGTGTCGGCGGCCCGCCGCCCTCCCTCCCCGCCTGCCCATTCATTCCCGGGCCTCGCCTCCCGCGGGCGGGTGCGGCCCGCGTTCATCCCCTTGTCCCCGGCGCGGGCCCGGCTCCTCGGGCCCGTCCCCGGGGCCTGGCCGGCCCTCATATTTCACCCTTGCGGGCGGTACAGTGTGGGTCCGCCTCCGGCCATCCCTCTCTGCTAAAGGGAAATATTCCCCTTTCACACGCTTCGGAGGACCCGAATCGGGACCAGGCTAGTTTCGCAGGTGTTCGGCTCGGGCAGGGTCTGATGGGAAAACGAAATCACTGAGTCACCCTAGAAAGGTGCCTGGAGGTAAAATAATCCCCGTAAGAGGATTGCTCGGTTTGGAGGAACGCGGAGCGGGGACGATGACTTCCTAAAGACCTTAATTCCGCCGCTGTTGCTCAGGTTGTCGGCGCTTAGAGGATTGTCGGCTCATTTTACAGACGGGGAAACTGAGGCCCAGATCGGAGCCGCAGTGGAGGGGCTGGACCCGTCCTCAGGGGTCCCAGTAGTGCTCCTGCGTTTCCCGCTGCGCTGATGCTGGGAATGTTCCTTATGAAACAGAAAGCTGTTCCCCTCAAGTCAAGCAGGTGACGTCAATCAGGGAAGCATGAGTAAGAAAGTGCCAAGTTTTCACCCTTGCTCAGGAATCGTCGTCCACGGGGTGCCTACTCCAAGTCCTGCACCTAGAGCTGCACTTAGAAGCGCAGAGGTTGCAGGCTAGGGCGCTCAGCGGTCCTTGCCTCGCAGGTGGAGGAAGGCTACCTGGGGGTTTATCTTAATTCTCTCTCCTCCACCCCACCCACACACACACCGGAAATAGATTGTTGGCGATAACGTAGGTGTTCGAAAATGTGTCGCCAAAAGCTCTTCTGTTTTAACTTCTTTTGAGTTTTATTTGGAAGGAAATTGGCAGGTGCAGTGAACTCTGAGTTGGTGTGTGAAGGGGGAGGAAGGGGGGAGTAGAAGGGTCGAATGGGAATACGTATTGAACAAATGAACAAAGCTCCCCGCAAAAAAGTAGCCTAGTGAGGGAGGAAGAGGAAAGTGAATCCTAAAGCTTGCACCTCTAGCTCTTCAGCTACCAGGCAAAACTCAGGGAGAGTGGGAGAGTGGGACTCCACATTTTATTTAATTTCGGAATTAAGCAGCAAAGGCAATGCAAGAACTTTTGACAAAAAACTCATTGAACCTTTTTTTCTGGAAATAGTGTTGGTTCCAGAATTTCTCTGTAGGAGGAGCATACAGAAGAGACTCTCTGGTTTGAAGGTCAGGGGATCATCTGGGCAATTGTTTTCAAGCCATATATGCAGAACAAACATACTGTTTTTGCTTAGATTAGTTATTGGCAGTGAGTATTTGATGGCCATTATGGGAGACCAAAGCCATTCCTTGACTTTGGCACTGGCTAACGTAACTGTTTTTATCAAATGGAACTCTCTGGAATTTAAGAAGTACCAATAATTATTACCAACTATATCATTATCAGATTTTAAGTGCTTTTCTAAAGACATAGATTTCTTAGCATCCTTCCTAAATAGAAGTATAATTTTTTACCTTTATAATGTTAACATTTGTCAGTCTCTGATAAGGGTGGAAGGACAACGAAGTCACAGTCCATGCTGAAGGGACCTTTACAGGATTAGAGGTGATCACTGTTCAGTTTTTCCTATTCCACTTTGATTTTTAAACTTGAAGGGATGCAATGTGGACAGCTCTTAGGTTTCCTAAAGAATAGCGAGGAAGGCCGGGCGTGGTGGCTCACACCCGTAATCCTAGCTCTCTGGGAGGCTGAGGCGGGCAGATTGTATTGAGCTCAGGAGTTCGAAACCAGCCTGAGCAAGAACAAGACCCCCGTCTCTACTAAAAATATAAAGGAATTAATTGGACAACTAAAAATACATAGAAAAAATTAGCCGGGCATGGTGGCTTGGGAGGCTGAGGCAGAAGGATCGCTTGAGCCCAGGAGTTTGAGGTTGCTGTGAGCTAGGATGACGCGATGGCACTCTAGCCCGAGCAACACAGTAAGACTCTGTCTCAAAAAAAAAAAAAAGAATAGTGAGGAAGTCTTGAGATTATGTTTTGAGCCAGATGCACATGTAGTCCCCAGCTACTCAGAAGGCTGAGGTGGAAGGGTCACCTGAATCCAGGAGTTCAAGCCTGGGCAACATAGCAAGACCTATCTCTATTTTTAACAAAAGATTTAAAAGTTATTTTTTATATAGTTAGATCTCTGGAATGTAGAAATTAACTCGGTTATCTTTAAGGAAAATCATAAACTCAGATGATGCTGTCTTTGTGGAATATCACTTAAAGCAGCATCTTCTATAATGTAGCAAATTGGTCCCCTCCCTTCTCCCCAAGTATTTCATAATAGTTCTGTAAACTGTTCAGTTATGTAAGATCAGTTCCAAACAATTTGATCACCTTTTGTGTACTAGGTACTGCTAGGCTCAGGGGATACAGAGGTTTATAGGGCACTCCTGCTCTCACTATAGGAATTAATACCTGTTAGATGCCTATGGAATGCATAGGATGAAAAGCCAACCCAGTCTTGGAGGAAGGTCAGCAAAGGTGAAGTGTACAACCAGTTTTCCTGTGCAAGAATAAAATCTTGGTATAAAAAAATGTGTACTGTGTACATTTTGCAGTATAATTCATCACAGTAATAACTTCTTCTAATTGATTTTGCAGAAAATGAAAAAGGACAGTATATATCTCCATTTCATGATATTCCAATTTATGCAGATAAGGTAAGGCATCCTTGTCTTTTGGACATAGTCTTTTTCTTTTTCTTTCTTTCTTTTTTTTTTTCTGAGATAGGGTCTCTCACTCTGTCATCCAGGCTAGAGTGCAGTGGCACAATCATAGCTCACTGCAGCCTTGAATTCCTGGGTTCAAGTGATCCTCCGGGCTTAGCCTCCCTAAGTAGCTGAGACTACAGGCATGTGCCACCATGCCACAAGGCTAATTTTTAAATTTTTTATAGAGATGGGGTCTTGCTATATTGCCCAGGGTGGTCTTGAGCTCCAGGCCTCAAGCCATCCTCTCTCCTCTGCCTCCCAAAGTGCTAGGATTACAGGTGTAAGCTGCTACCACCTGGCCAGGACACAGTCTCTACTCAGATCAGCTAGTTCTACATACCAGTTTTCATGCATGTCTCTTAACAAGTGCTTAAAATGCCCCATTGTGCTGTGAGTTAAAAATTCATTGAGTAAATAAGAAGTCAGTATTAAAACAAGATTATTTGGTTAAAGAAGCAACTGTAAATTGGAGAAGGAGAAGAGGAATAAAAGCAAAAGTTTTTAAGCTGCCTTGGTTTAAAAAAAAAACACATTGGTCTTTTCTGTATGTATGTTTGGAACTAAAATCTTAGTACTTCATTAGTGGTTTTAAAATAAAATGGGTAGCCAGCACAGAATTTTGGCTGTGGGATGTTTGTTAAAGAGTAAAAATAAACTAGATTGTTCAGTGAGTATAGGAACATTCAGTAATGGGCTAATAGAGTTAAGATTTGCAAATAGGCTGGACGCGGTGGCTCACGCCTGTAATCCTAGCTCTCTGGGAGGCCAAGGCGGGCGGATTGTTTGAGCTCAGGAGTTCGAAGCCAGCCTGAGCAAGAGCGAGACCCTGTCTCCACTAAAAATAGAAAGAAATTAATTGGACAACTAAAAATATATAGAAAAAATTAGCTGGGCATGGTGGCGCATGCCTGTAGTCCCAGCTACTTGGGAGGCTGAGGCAGAAGGATTGCTTGAGCCCAGGAGTTTGAGGTTGCTGTGAGCTAGGATGACGCCACGGCACTCTAGCCCGGGCAACACAGTGAGACTCTGTCTCAAAAAAAAAAAAAAAAAAGGATTTGCAAATTGTGTTAATAAAGTTAAGTACACAGACTTCTAACAGGAAATGACTGTTCTGATATATACCAGTAAGCTGAAGAAATCCAACTTCAGCACACGTTGGTAGGTTTACCACAAATTGGTAAAAATCTTTACATTTCTAGGGGGGAAAAAGTCTATATATACCAAAATATTTATCATTCTTTAGTGGTGGGATTACCAGTGACTTTTTGGTTTATTTTTATTTGTGCCTTTTTATATTTTTGAATCTTTTAACAAAGAGCTTGTGTTATTTGTACAACTTTAACTAATTATTTTTAAAAACACATTTTTTTAGCCTCATTTCCAGTGGGAAGTTCGTACTGTATTTAGGAACTTAACATAAAGACAAATATCTGATTCGTTTTATACCTTTCAATTTTTTTTCTTCAATAGGAAGTTTCATTCACATTGAGTAAAAAGCTTTTTGTGTTGTAAAAGGAAGTCAATAACTTCCTTAGCTAGATGTTAGTATATAATACATGTGAACATCACTTTCCAATGCACATCTAGAATAATAGTAAATATGAAATTTTGGTCTTGTGTATGCCGAGTCTTATAGTTTTTCTTGGCTTGACTATCAGATAGAAATAGACAAATTCACTGTACTTCTGCCAGGAGGATTGCTGCAGTTCTGTACTGACAGTTGGACACTGGCAGAAAATCCAAATTATTCATTGCTTCAGAGGAGCCTACTTAAGCTGGGCTCCAGTTGGAGGCATTAGAGCAAACAGTCTGAGGCCAATTATGTGCCACAGTTACAGAAGGGACCTCTAATTGGCATGTGTTTTCCTGTGGGAGTCTAACAAAGTTGTATTTATTCAGAAACTCTAATTTGTTACATCTGATTTCCCAGGAGTTGATATGAATGGCAGAATCCTCTTCTCTTGAATTGGCCTCATTAGGTTGGCTTGAGTTATCTGTTGTATGATGTATGTATATCGTACTGTAAAGCATTTTATAGTAACGTCTCTGACCATTTTGAGTAATGAAGAGATATAAAACATGCTTTTAGTTTATTGATGGTATGTTGGCATACAGGTACGGCAAGGAAGGAAAACTTTTTTTTTTTTACATTATGGCTGTTTTTTGGTGTACATAGTGATTTTCATCAAGGACCAGAACGATCATAGAAGTGGTACCTACCCTTACTGCTGCATCAAGTTACTCCAAAATAGGAAACTAAGACTACTACATTTTGGTGTTGTGTAAAACATCTTCACTCAGATTACCCTGTGACACTGAAGTCTTGGGAGGGACTGGTTGTGTCTATAAAGTGGATTACTCAAATGAAGACTCTGCCCTTGTCCCAGCTGGAAAGCATAAAGCTCTTGTAACGAGTTTGGATTTCGCCAGTGGTCCAGACTTCAGTGAGCCCCAGTGCTTCTAATTCCTGCCTGAGAGGCCGGAGAGAGTTCTTTTGTTTTGTTTTTAAGGAAGTTATTTGTTTAAAACACAAATAAGGGTGTGGTAAACAGAAGTTATTTCGGGCTGTGGCCTAAGAAAAAGATCTGATTAATTCGATTTGTTACAGAATAGTGTGATTTCCTTTTTTTTTTTTTAAATTCCAATGCAATTAAGTTTACATAAGTACATTCCCATGTGCTTGGCCCTAGACTTTATTCCTAATATGGTCAGTGATCTGAGGGGTGATAATAAGGCAATGTCATTATCAGTCTTTAACACATTAACATACCTTTAACACAGTTCCACAAAGGAAAAATGTCCAAGGACTTATATTCTACTCCATGTCAGGACCTTTCAGTGTTGACAACATCCAATTTGGCATATGCCATTAGGTAATCAATCTAGCTAGGTCTGGAATTTCTTGTGACTGAGATACGCTACTTGGATTATTTCCAAATCCAATGGGTGGAAAAGGCAAAATCAAGGACTCACAGGATTTTTTTTTTGTTGTTAACGGTGAGAGTATCCTTTGCTCTGAGTTGATTTGGGGATCAAATGTAAAAGCACCTGGAGCTGAGAGTATCTTCCAAAATGGAACTTCTGAGGTACCAGAAATTTAGAAAATCTAGAGCATGGTGTAAACAGGGTCTCAACACTGGGTAGGTAAAAGCTTTATCTAAATCTTAAGGAGCTCAAATGTTGTGACTTGATGTTTTGATTTTAGAAGTTTGATATTTTTCTATTCCATACCTTAAATTTTCATGTTAAATCCTAATTCTGACAATGTAGGGTTCCATTTGTTTTTTAGGTGACTGTTGGGAACATATAGAAGCATATATAAATCGTAAACTGTGTTTCTTTTTTTCCCTTCTGAAAGAAAGTCAAGCTTCTAATCAAATAGATTGGTGCTTCAGAAACTTAACAGAATATTTTCTGCAGCTTGGTATAAACTTTCTTGGGAAAGTTTCCATGGTCAAAATTCTTAGTCATTGGAAACCATAGAAAAGTTTGGCAACTGGAGATGCAGACCCTTTTATTTGATTTTATAAAGAGAAGAAAATAAACAGATTATGGTTAGAATATCCTTTTTCAAAATTTAGTCATCCTAAAGCTTACCTGAAGGGAAAAAATAGGAGCTTATTTTCAGTTATGACATGGGAAATTAAGTTATTTATTAATATATAGGTATATATGGTAGTTTGTGTTACTAAATACAGGAGTTTGTTTGAACTGCTATGAGTAGGAAAATCTGTGTAACTGGAAAACAAATGAATACTACTGAAAGTCTTATTTGTGTGTGTGTGTGTTTTAATTTTTTTACTTTAGTAGGTTAACTCTTTCCCCAGACTCTTAACACAATTTGTTGAGAACTGTGTTTTTGATTGGTATAAGTCATGTTTTTCTTTGCTAAGTTAAACAATTCTAAATAAGGGGCACAACAATGTGAACTTTAGCCATCTTATTTCTTTCTCTTGGCTTCTCAAATAGACTTTTGTCACTTGCCAATGAAATAATTCAGGAATCTATTTAATTTTTTCTTTTTTTTTAGAGACAGGTTCTTACTCTGTCACCCAGGCTGGAGCGCAGTGGTGCAATCACAGCCTCAAACTCTTGGCTTCAAGGGAACCTCCTGCCTCAGCCTCCAAAGTGGCTGGGACTACAGGCATGCACCACCATCCCAGGATAATTTTTATTTTTTTAGAGACAAAGTCTTGCTACATTGCCCAGGCTGGTCTCAAACTCCCAGCCTCAAGCGATCTTCCTGCCTCAGCCTCTCAAGTAGCTGGGATTATAGGTATGAGCCACCAAGCCCAGGCCCATTTACTTTTAACAACTTAGAATATGTTTTTTTATAATCATATAACCAACTTTACAGCCAAAACCTAAAAGTAAGGGTTAAGAGCTGTTGTCACTTGGTAAGACTGAATAAGGTAAAAT